TCTCGCTCTTATCCACTTAGCTTACATATCGTCAAATATCGCACATTATTATTGTATCGTTATTGTTGCTATAAACTGTTATAACGGAAAAAAGTCCCGCGTGGCGAATTCATACAAAGTCGAGCATTCCACGCACAGTTAGCAGACAAAAGACCAATCCGACCAACTCCCTAATCCACTGGCCAACTAACACATTCTACACCAACCTTTTCCGTTCCACAATCCCTGTGCCGTTTCCTAGCATCCCCGCTCGAGAAAACCACCAGGAATTCTTCCCTCGGAAGTTCGAGTTGCGATAGAAAGCATGAAAAGAGGTGCAGCTCCAAGACCCGATAATATTACCGACGACTTCCTTAGAGCTGGAAGCCGCAATTTACATGTACTTCCCACAAATCATATGACAGTCTACCTTCAAAAGGAAAAAATCCCAGACCAGTGGAGAACGTCGAGTACGGTCATCATGCCCAAGAAAGGAGACCGAAGGAATCTTCTAGCTACCGTCCCATATGTTTGCTGAGTGTGCTCTAAAAGCTCTTCACAAGATTATCCTCTCGCGCATATCATGGGCATCGGATGAGGCACAACTAGTCCAGCAAGCAGAAAAAGGGTTTTGCTGCTTGGAGCACAATCAAACCGTGTCGTGGGTCACTGAAATATCTCAGGAATAACGCCCGCCCCAATTCCTAACTTTTTTCGGCAATGAAATACCATTTGACAGTGTCGAAACGAATGCAATCCTATCAGCGCTCGTCGACCAAGGAGTGGACCCGTCCTGCATAATAGCTCTATCTGACAATTATCAGAGTGGAACTACGACAATACAGCTTTTCCACAGGCCTGTTACATACTTATAGAAAAAGAGGTTCGCGAAAGCGACCGAATGTTGCCAAAACTGTTCAGTGCCGCAGTGCATTGGATAGTGAAGTCACTCGATTTGGATGAGAAAAGCATACGTATTGATGGAAAATTCCTATCAAACCTTCGTTTTGCCGACGACATTGTCATCTTCTCAAGAAGTACTAGCGAAGCAGAGGTGACGATCAACGAGCTCAATGAAGGGGGAAAAAGATCGGACTTCGCATAAATCGAAAGAAGACCCACTCCATGAAAAATCCATGGTGCGAAGGCGAAAAAATTGAATTGGATGGCTCTCTAATTGCAGAGATCACCTCGTACGTTTACCTTGGGCCATCAATGAACATGGAAAACAACATGAACGAGGAACTAGATAGAAAAAGGAGAGCAGATTGGGTCGCATTCGGGCCTCTCAAAGAAGCCACCGACCAACTGAAGGAGCCAAAAATCCGCTCGAACAAGACCACCAACATGGACTACGATTGCGAGAGAAAGGAACGAATGGCATATGTGCTGGGGTCCGCACGGCTCGTGAAGTCGGACCGTCCAAGTATCCAAGTAAGTACACTGACAGGCATGTGAAGGATTCTAGAAACAAGACTTAACATAGGTAGTAGTCTGGATCTTGTAGAAATTTCAGTTTCCCAAACAGGATTCAGTCTCTCCAAAAAGTAATAGTCCTCCAAGAACGCAGCCTACCCATCTAAACAACGAAGAGATGTTTATACTTGTGTGGTCACTTTGTCCATCGAAGTGTAATAAAGAAAGATAAAGCTCTCGACGTTGACCTATCCTTGAGGGATGCGCCAGGCTTTCGACTTCGTTAAGCATCGTTTGGAGGTGATTGAATGCATGTCTGACCTCTACAATGTCTCGCGGTAGCCTACTGATGTATCGAGCCAGTTCTGCTATCCTCCGAAACAAGTCTGGTACTAATTCGTCGACTCCGAAGGGATGGAAGGTTTAGTCGGCCATGGGGCGGTGATCGATTCCACGTGTTTTGCAGGGCGCTTCCGACCACTGTGCTACACGCTCCCATTAAGCGAGCTTTTGCCCTTTGGTTCTACAAGAGCTTTCCGTCCTCTTTGAGCTAGTCTTAGGAAAAAAAGCCATCGGAGTATGTGTTGGAACGGCTCGTTGATATAGGAATACCAAGTAGTTAGGACAATTCGTGGGCCAGTCCCGCACGTAACATCACGGTGAGTGGCCTTTCTGTTCAATATGGCGTCTATTTGAAAGTTTGATCTTCATTAATATTTTAACCTTCTTTTCAACCGAATAATAAAAAGTATTCTAACATAAAGTACGTCCAGGCTCTGAGGAAGGCGAAGTCGCCGAAACGTCAGCCATTGTTCAATAACATCAAAAACAACAACAACGAAGATCTGTACCAACCTCGCGTCAGCTTAAGAAGATCAGTTTATAAGATCACATAAATAAATATACCAACTATCTATGCCGAGGTTCATAGAAAGTCGGTCTTTCGAGTTATTAGGACAATTCGGTCGGAATTAGCAGCCTAGCTAGCCGTGGAGCCGTTTATATACCTTTGCGCTGGGCGGAGTCAGATTACAGTAAGCGGAGTCGGGCTACAGTAGGCAGAAAGACGGGTGCTGGAAACATCTCTCAAGTCTTGCGATCTGATAGGGCGATATTCAAAGCCTAGGACCCTAAGTGCTGATATTTTACGAGATAGGCGCCAGCGAAATGTTAGACATACGGCTATCAGATCGTCATGGAGAAAAGGTCATGGGAGAAGAATTTGAAATGTTTGGAAAGGTTATAATTGATTTACATAGAGAACATTCCAATATTCTTGAAAAATGTTCTCTATAGTATGACCATTTAAGTAATATCATCTACCGGCTGCAACCTAGTTGTCATCTACCTAGTTGGTGCTCTGTTTTTCGGAATCTGACAAATTTTGTCTAACATTCCACTTAAGAAGTACCTAATCAAAAAACGATGGTAGTGGTGCAAAGAGCAAGAATCTGGAACGGTCGGAAGAAGGACCCCTTCCTTAAAGACTCCTAATATGAACAAGAAAGATTTGTACGAATAAGTGTCGAACGACAGTCATGAAGAAAAACTTTCTATAGTTAAAAATGTTGATTATTTGTGCACAACGACCTAATGTACGAACTAGTTGATAGAAAACATAGCTGCATTAACTCCTACTTCCTGATAATGGCTTCCTATCAGATGAGGAATTTAGGAAACCACATCCACCTCTTTTACTTGAGCAAATTGGTGCCAATCTTGTCTGGGAGGATAGCAGCACTGGCTCGATACATAGGTAGGCCACTGCAAGTCACTGTGAAGGCCGGATATGCATTCAGTCACCTCCAACGAGACCTAATGAAGTAGAATGCATGTCGCATCCATCATCCATCAGGACTTGATCAATGCCAAGAGCTTTATTGTTTTTTTTTATTTGGAATGTCTCTGGAAAACGTTTTTATAAGGTCTTCGAGTGGATTCAACATCAAGCCACAATTTGAGTTACACTCTTATGTCTGCATTACCATTACAAATGAAAGTATGGACACTAACGCGTTTGCCGCTGGTTAGTACTTTAGGATTGTGGCATGCATTCGTCTCCATTCGTGGCACTGTAGAGGTGATTGCGTTCGTATCTGGTCAATGGAATGACTTGTGTAACTACACTGATGTATCACACTCAGTGCTTTCTATCCTTCCAGACAAGTCTTTTACCTGATTGCCGACTCCCAATAGATATGGGCTTTCTTTGGCCTGGGCGAGGTATCGAAACAATGAACAACGTGTTTGTTGCACTCCCATTTCTAGATGGTTTCTGATTCACGTCCTCATAAGAACAGACAAAGTCAATAGGAGATTTGGGCTGAAATTCTCGAAGTACGTGGTGATAATCCACAAGTTTATTCAAGTCTAAGCAGAGAACTATAGTTCAGAATTAATAACAACATCGTCTAGTCACCTCTCTGGTATTGTCACTTTCATTAAGACAGAAAGGTGGAAAAGATGGCTACTATCATCACTTTTTATTTACTGCCTATTCTTTCTTTTAATGGCAGGTTAGTGTATAAAATATAACAGTAATGATGCTGAGATATTTGCAAAACCCTGGACCGCAGGTGTCTGTTGTGGGGATCAAACACGCTACTAACCTTTCCGGAGGCTAACGCGCTGACCACCACACCATGCAACTCCTTCGTTTCGCCTTTCTCTCAGCCGTCTTTTTGACCTATAGGCTGTATCAGCCATCTTTTGTCAACGGGATTTATCTGAGGAGAACAAATCGGTTTTGAACTCAGCGGTTTAGACCACAGCTTCACGACGCCCATCGCCGACAGCAGCGGTCTGGAGTTTCGGAAATATCTCAGCATCATTATGGTTATATATTAGCGTTGTTACAACTGGTAACAACTCAGTGATAGTATTAGACTGTATTATAGTATGCAATGTCACCAACTCTTTAGGAAATCTACCACTTTTCTTTACTCTATGACGAGAAATGCGCTCCAATCGATAATCAATCGTGGCGCGATTCCACATTTTGGGAGTACGACGGCTATTTTGCTAGGGCTGTTTTGATCGATGTCTGTCCTGTTTGTAGTTCTGCTGTAAGTTGTTGTGCAAGCTTTTCATGTGGAACCTAAAGGTTTCGCCTAGGCTGTTCGGTACTGTTGATAACTAATCCTAGTAAGTGTCGACTACTTAAATCACTGAAATCTTTGATGTTTGGTGGAACTTTCTGTGACATCCCGAAAATTCATGACCGCAGGGTTAAGAAGTAATCCGCTGTGGATTTACCGCTTCACGGCTTGAAAAATCTACTTTCAAACAAGTGTCCATATTGATTTTATCAGAATGTGTCCTCTTGTGACTCATTTTCCAGGGTTTCGTGGAAGTTGTACTTCCTCTTGTAACTTCTCTGTACCATTTCTTCGTTACTACAGGTTCGGGCATATTAGATGACGTACAGTTGTTCGAACTTTAGGAAACACTTTACTTTGCGGGTTGTTTCCTTTTGTTTCTATTTCTTTCTCTCTTTCTTCTTTCTTTCTCTTTTTCCTCTTTCTGTCTCTTTCCCTGTATTTCTTTTTTCTTCTTTCTCTTTTTTCAGTTTTTATAGTGGGGTCGTGCGGTCTTTAGGTTTAGATATGTTCTACAGTGATGACGAAGACGACGCTTTGCGAATGCGATGGGCCCTCGTGTGCTCTGTTCATGACGATTCTCCGAACTTCCTAAACACCTTAAGGTATGAACTTTATATGCCATAACGTTCATTAGGTTTATTCTTCTACAAACGCTCATGAAGGTGTGCTCAGTTTGAAAGCTATGTGAAGTTTCAGTTAAACTTGTTTAATTCGTTTCTATTTTACTACTAGATTTTATGAGGTCGGTTCCAACTCATTAAACGTAGAAGTGGAACTAAGTAGTCAATAAAAGGGTATCATCTGGTATCCAAAAATTTTGAAGCGTTAGAGGGCATTTCCTCTAGGAAGTTTCCATCATCCTTGATGTTTCAGAGAGTGAAATGTAACATTGTAGGTGATGTTTTAGTGACTTTGCCTCCTGGTTTCTCTCAGAAGTTAGTGAGGCTGCGAGAAAGATGAACATCTATGAAAAATTTGAGGCAAGAGAGAAAATGTTAGTGCGTGTTCCTGTCGGCGATTTCGATGCTTGTGCTTCAGCCTATGAAGATATTAGAAAGGTAGTCATTTAGTTATACATCCACTTTAACCTATAGTTAGGTGTCTGTTTCGTGCTTACTTGGATACTTGGGTGACCCGTCGTCACTGGTTTTGCGGGCCCCAGCATAATCTCCAATTTCTCAGAGTTCTACTGGCCTAGCCATTGTGATTCTCTGGAGTCTCGAAGACAGCCTGGCTAAAGTCTGTCTCAGGTCGTCACCACCACGGGCAGTCGCCGCCCTTGTGGATCAGAGGGAGATTTGCCACTATTCGATCAGTTTGATACCAGAATGGGTGGTCTGATCCCGTGTAGAATTTTGGGACAACAGCGACATCGGTTAGGCAAAACCTTCTATTTACTATGATGTGGTCTATTTCGTTATGAAACTCTCCATTGGGAGACTCCCACGTCCAGCGCTGAGGGTCGGGCTTTTGGAATTGCGAGTTACCATGTGTCTTGATCGCTATGATAAATTCAGATAGCCGCCCCCCCTGTTCGTTCCATTCTAATCCGTAGATCCCAATGTGACGTTCTTCTTGGTTCAATCTTGGCCTTGAAATCTCCAATGATGACCTTCGAGAATGTGTGGTCTTCTCTGCAGAACTTCTCCAAGTCCATATAGAACGCTTCGACTTCTTCTTCGTCATAGTTTGATGTCGGGGCATAAACGACGAAGATTGTCAAAGTCGGAATTGAT